GTTGATTTCTTCTCATTTCTTTGTAAGGATTTTTTAAAGATTAATGATTGATGATTCAATACCTGGAAAAAGAACAACAGATCCATCACTTAATCTAATGCACGTGTTTTTCTTCAATTCATCTAGTTGATCGGATTTCAATTGAAGTACAGCAGTAACATCTTCACATCCAAGAAATGAGTCAACTCCATTGCATTCTTAAAATGCAAGTAGTTCTGCTACCTTTTTTTCAGAAAATTGTCGAATAAAATCCTAAAATGCTTCATCTCGAAGATCCATAATATTTAAAGGTAGAAGTTTTGTATTTGCAGGTGAATATTTGGAATTAGGGATTATAATAGCAGCAAAATCTATTAAATAAACAATATGTGTAAGTTTGTGTGAAAAGATAGGATTGAATGAAAAAAACGAACAAGACACAAATATTTTTCTCCTTCTATCTCGTCTTACATTAGCGAATGAATACGAGACAACAGAACGGAAAAATATCTAAGTTACAAAATTAACTATCTACCGATCATCATTATTCTCTTACAGTTATATTATTTGAACGTTATCTATTGAAGTAACATAATTCATTCCGTCTTGATGACTACATGACAAGCATTTTTGTTGCTGTCAAAAGAAAACACTTTGTATTCGATGATTGTCATTGATTGTCAATGATTTGCAATGATTTATTTGATTCCAATCAGCTTTTTCCCCCTTGGATTAAATATTAAATTGATGTAATTAATCTATATATCTCCTATCATTTTCTATTGTTTTACAAGAAATTATTTATTTTTCTCTTACTATTTGTTCAAATTTGCATCAATTTTACAAAGAATATCTCTTCGTTCATATTAACAGCATGTAGAATAAACACAGTGATAAAAGTAATTTATAGCGAATTTAACGAAGAGATAAAATCTGATGTTATATAATATTGTTTGTGGCACTATTTTGATTGCCCTTCGCATTAGAAAATCATGTTTCTACTGGCTAATTCAATAAAATATTCTTGAATAACAAACAACCCAACTTTTTATCACATTTTTTCTCATTACAAAAAATCATTCATTTATTTGCCAATTGCTTTTTTCCTACATATTTTTCAAATGTTTAACTTATCACGAAGTGTGTAGAACGAGAGAAAAAAAACGAAGAGAAATAAAGAATGAACGTCATGATAGTATCATCAAAATATAAACATTATTTATCAAAGTAACAACGTTGTACGGACGCTGTGTATTGATGTTATTTACCTTGTTAGTTAAAATACATCTTGATAATAAGTGTATAATAAAAAAAACGAAATCGTTGAAGTGGAAAAAAGTGAATATTCGTATTCTAAGCTTTTTAATCAATGAAAAAAATGTAGATCAGTAAAACAATATATAACACAATACCAGTGAAACAGGATAAGTTAAGCATACTGAATTTTTAAAGGTTGATTTTGTATTTAAAACTAAAAAGAGTTGCATGAAAAATAAATAACGTTAATAAGAATGCAGTAGTTCGATATGTATTTATTATTGAGGAATAATTTTTTTTTCTATTCAGTCTAACCTAATAAGAATCTATCAAATATTATATTTTATCATAAATATAATAAAATGTCTGAATTAACAATTTCAAAACGATTAATTTAATTTTTCTTCTTTGTTTAGACCGAATAAAACCAAGTTTAGACCTTTAGAGTTCATATAGCTTCTTTGATAATGATTTCTCTTTCTTTTCTTGAAAAAATTTGACTCAACAAGCTGTTTTACATGAGTTGGTAAAATTTTATTTCCTGAAAATTCAAATGAAATGGTTAAGAAAGATTTTCCGGAAATAGGAACTTACCATCTCATGACATTTTGAACTTATTTAGTTTTAATAATTCATTAATTAATGCTCAATCAATCAGTAGTGATCTAATTAGTACTCAATTGATGAGTATCCAGTTATATTTTAGAGTATGCGTGGACTGAGAGAAGACTCACACGCGTATCCCACATCCACACGCTCAATTTTTTTGACTCAGAAACAACATCTTCATTGTGTTGATTGGATTAAGAAATTGATACGAATGTACCAATAAAATCCATATTCAAAACATGAATCTATTCATAAAGTCGGTTTGCCTTCTTCGCAACTTACTATATTTGTTTCTCAATCGTTTCACAATAGCTCATTAAAATGTTTTCATTGACAGTTAAATTTTTGAACTGTTTATTGTTTCCATCATTTTAATTTTAATGAATTTTTCACTCTCCATCCGGAACTTTTTAATGCTTTATAACCTTGACTTTGAAGTTTTGCACTGATATTTCCGATAGATGCCCTTTTATTAATCGATTAGTTTCTTTTACAGCATGAATATATTTGCTTGTTGTTGTTTTACGAGATGCACTTGATCTTGGTGAGTCTTTTACTTTGTTGTTATTCAATATTTTCCAGACTTTACAGACCAAGGCGTGTCTCGTTGTATAACAAGGTGGATTTTAGGACTGAAAGAAGAATTTCGCAAAATGTTTTGTTTTTCATGGAAGCCGACGGAAAATGTTTTGAAGAAAAACAGCGATAAGTTACGGTTTGAGGCAATTTTCAAAAAATTGAATAGAAAGAATAATTTTCACGGTTATTTAAAACCGATGAAAACTGCGATTTGTTTAAACCACAGTACACCGCGGTTCGCTTGGAACGAGGTGTACAACGATTTCACCAGACATGCCCGAGTCAGTAAACCTAGATCAGGATGACCGAACCCACCTAAAATTCGCAGAAATTCTAGTTGAATTGCGTTTTGGGGCGGTATAGTGAACGTTTTCAAGTCCGATTACCACAAAATAGTATAACAGTGAGAGACAGAATAAGAAAATTTATTTAAAATTTCATAAAAATAGTTGAGCGTGACATCCTCTTCGTTCTTACACATTCTGTCAAATTTCAGTATGTATACTACGCGAATTATATAGATACAATAATGGTCATTACATGCACATCAATATAAAAACGGTAGTTTTTCAGCCGAAAATCATGGTTTTATGGAAAGCTTTCTCTAGGAAACACTGATAGCAAAAATCGTGACTATCGTTGTAACTACTTTGCCAGTAGGTGATGCTTTGTAAAACAGCACGATAAGATACCACAGTCTCCAATACTGCCACTAGTCGCGGTTCTTAGTGAGCATAGGGCCATATACGTAATTCACTAAATAAATGCCACACAGAACTAACGAGGGTTTCGTGCTTGCTATGAAACTTAACACTAGTTTTGTAGGAAACCTACCGAATCTTTAAAAAACTTTCCGAGGCCGCTAACAATCATTTTAAGATGTCTTAGGTTTTTACGAGTACCCTTTTTTAAAGTTCCAATTTTTAAGACGAAATTGTTCGCTATACTACCTTGTTTTATCATCAAATTGTGGTTCTCAATGAACATACCGTGGTATATGAAACCAAGAACTACTGCAATAGTCAAAACCACGGTTAACACTCTGGATACCACAGTTATCATGAAATGCGGTGCAAAAATACCATGGTTAACCGTGGTTATTAATGAGAACACCGCAGTATTCGAAATCAGCAGTTACTACGGTGCTCAATACAGAGGTTTGCAGTGAGAGCACTGCGATCTCTGAAACCGTTAACTATCGCGTTATCCCACACCGCAATTATCTATGAGGAGACCATGGTTTACAGCAGTTTTTTCAAAAAACGTTTTCTGTGGGCGACGCAGCTCTTACGTGTAATAGGAACGAGCGAAATTTGTTTAATCTTTAGTAGATGGTTGATGTGACATTCTTGTCGATTCAGTCGTAATGCACTAATATTAACCTCTATATACGCCTGCTGTGGACATGTGCAGAAACCAAAATATGTTTTTAAAAGAAAAAAAGAATATGGTCTGCGACGTGCTAACTACAGGAGCTCTAGAAATAAGACTTTTCTACTACTTTTACAACGAATTTTCGTTACTGGAAAATCAGAAAAACAATACACCGCAATGTTATTAAGACTTGTCATCCATAGTAAAACCTATACGCCTCAAACTTTGTTGTTATGCAGAAGCAAGTATGTACAAATATCTGCCAAAAGTTTCAAACAGTTTGCTCTTGTTAAATGCGACAACAATGAATTTCACAATTGTTACAAAAGTTCTGCGATGCCATTTATAATGCCATAGTGACATGTAGCGTAATTGTGTTCTTGTAATTAACACACTTATTATATTACAATTTCGATGTTGATAATTTATGATGATGCATTTAATAGAGATGATAGGTGAATTCTTAGTTCTACTTTGTTAAAAGTGTATATTTTATCTAACAGATTTGTTGCAATACTATGTATCGTCATGGACTTTCGCTATCATTTTTCTCTTAAAGTATTTACTATAGTAAAATGAACTCGGCGGAGACAAACTCGACATAAGATCAAAATATGCTCGGAATATAGTGAGTATATTTCAAATAGAAAAGAGTTTTAAGATAAAAAAGAAAACCGATGCGAATAGCAGCAAATCGATTTAATCAGTATAGAAATATTACTACTTAATGTATGCTTTACTACGATTAGGATTTATTTTATTCTATCTGATTGATAACTTCAGATGTATCTTAGTTGGATTGATTATGGAGTTTTAGTGTTGCTTTTGAGTAAGTCTAAAAATAAAGACTCTTCTTAATGAAAACCATTATTCATTTAACATTTTTAGTTTTCTCGGTTAGCATTGGGATTTATCAAGGCTGTGTGAGATCAAAACAAACATCAACAAAGGAATTTCTCATAGCCGATGGTAGAATGAGAGTAATTAGATTTATCTAAAATAGATTTCAGCTGATTGTTCGTGGGTGTGGGTGTGTGGGTGTCGGTGAGTGTGGGTGAGTGTGGGTGGGGGCGTGGGTGTGGGTGGGTGTGGGCGTGGGTGAGTGTGGGTGGGTGTGGGGTGTGAGTCTGACTTCATTTTATCTTAACCCACACTCACACGCACACTCACCCACATCCACACCCACACCCAGCCAGGCACTAGTACACTTCGTCGCACGACACTTCGTCGCATTCACTTCGTCGCATTCACTTCGTCGCACGACATTTTGTCGCGTTCTGCTCGTCGCAAAATTTTTTTTTCGTTCTGTTCGTTTCTGTCTACTTGCTGCATCGCTCTTAATCAATTCTTTTTTTTTTAATAACCAATGGAAATAACATAAAATAAATGAAAAAAATTACAAGAGATATGTACAATAGAGCGAGATGATTAATTGGAAAAACGGATCAACAAAAAAAAAATACTATTCCAATACAATCGTGATAGAGCTAAAGCGAGCGATGAATAATTAAATTTGTTACTTGGCTAATGAATTTCAGCATAATCTAAACTAAAGATAACACTGATCCAATATCCTTAATTATGGGACCAAGTCAGATAAAAAAAGAAACATTTCACTTCTCAATTTCAATTTTCACAGCACACTATTTTTCAAGCAAAATGTCTCAAATCGAGAAACTCCTTTCTGTAAAAGGAAAACCAATGATGCTTCATGATGGTTATATCTATACTGTAGAACGTACAACAACGACGAAATTATTTCTTCGGTGCCAGA